ACGCTACTAGTAGCTCCTGGCCTTACTACTAGGAGCAAGGACGCTACCAGTAACAAGGGCGCCTACCGGAGCCACCGGCAATGCCACCCGTGGCTTCGGTGCGCGGGCCACTGCGGCGGGCGCGTCGCCCATCGCCTGTTTAGGTGATGCCGGCAGCAACAGTGAGACTTTTTTATGGAAGTGGAGTTTCCCCCTGTTTGTAGAGTTTGTCTTGGAATCCAAGAAGGCCTAAGAAGGCCAATCCATTGTGCTGTTGACCATGAAATGACAAAGTTCGTTGTAGAAAAAGAGGGCACCCTGAGGATTATATATATATATGATTATATATATAATATGTAAAGGCCAAAAGGCCCTGTAATTAATAAGAGCATCCTTCCAAGCATTCTTCCAGAATTGCACTCGGATCTCCATGTATCCATGCCTGCAAACATGAGGGAAATAGAAGAGGACCTCGATGGAGTTGTTCAACATAACGCAGAATTGCTGTGTTTGTTGAGTCACCCCGTCCTAAACATGTTTGGGGATTGTGCCATGTTCCAGACGCAACTGTAGCTATACTTGTGGATGGTTGTCTTTCATTATGGTTCAATGCACTGCTATAGTTGCTAGATGTTGCTAGGTACCGCAACACAGTTTGGTCTTCTCAAGACCTTGTGATTCACAATACAAACCGTTCCCCTCACGAAACTCAAAAATACATAAAAAGACTATGTTCTTCTGTGTATTTTCTGTCAACAAATTCTTCCAAAGTTATACATCATCCAAGAAGAACAAATGATATGTTCTTCCTTCAGAAGTAATTATATATAATGTGTGTCTTGAACCCAAGAAGACAAACAGTGGTGAACCCCGAGTCATTTTGGGGATGGACGATCCTGCGTGAATTCGATCGATCCTGCCATGTGGCAGTCACCACTGATGCCAGCTGTTCTGCGGCAAAGGCCGCAATCGCGTTGGTGTTGGGATGGTCGAACATCAAGGTGCTGGGCAACCTGCAAGTGGGCGAGTCAGACTTGGTCGGACCACCTGCAGACATTTGAGGAATCTCAGTCCAAACACTGGCTGACGAGAAAAGCAGATGATCAGGATTGAAGCAAGTTCTAAATTTGATTCGAGATCGATCATGGTTCCTCAGAACTCCCTCTCCAAATGTCAAAACATCTTTCTCCACACCGATCCCCCAAGTTCGTATCCCCTTCCTGGCGCCGCCCCAAGGCGGGCGCCAACGCCAGCGACTGGTCGCCCCGGTCGCCCCTTCAAGCCCAAGAAGCTTCACTCCTGGCAATTCCTTGGCGACGGAGTTCCGGAAATCCACCGAGGACCTCGGCGAGTCCAGAGCTGATGCGTGGGCACCAAAATAAGGTGGGGGTCGTGAATTATCTCATAGGATTATTAGGGTTGCTATGGCTCCAACCCTCCAAAGATTTGGGATGAACTCAGTGATTCAGGATCCGAGTTGCAAACCTGGTGTCCCCAAAGGATCGCCTGTGAAAACGACACATCCCAGAACCACAAGACCACAGACTATGTCTGGTAGTGTCTAGCCATCGTGCATTTAAGAAGTCCCTTCTCAATGTCTTCCCCATGCACCACACGCTCAACCGCATTTCAGCTCAATCGGCCACCAAGGCACAAAGAGTCCAATCCTGCCTCCATCAATGGAGCATCTCCACCCAGCTCATCCACGCCCAAGATACCCATGGCAATGCCTGGCAGGGTGGGTCAGTTCAGCAATGGCGTGTTACAATCAGCCATAGGGCACCATTCGAGAATCTTTGGAGCCATATCCAGAGTAGATTCTACCTCGAGGGCCCCTGCATGGCCCAGTCAACCAAGCCGTGCAAGAAGCGTGAGCACAATCGTTCTTCATCAGTGTGTATCACTGAATGTTCTTACTGCCCCATTTGAGATGTAAGTCCTACGATTTGTGTACGCCAGGTGCAAGAATGTTCAGATCACGAAGCACATACAACCTAGCCAAGCAAAAGCATGAAACGTAAGAAGAATTGGTACAAAGGTTAGACTCATCCATTCTCTATTTAGATCCCACATCCGGCACTGTGAGATAATTGCAATACCCAATCTGGTGCAGGACTTTTGTCTACCTGTATCGTACACCAGTATTATCTTGACATCTCGACGGTTTCCATGCGTGCCGTGCAAGTATACAGTGTACATATGGTTGGCGCTTGGCTCAGTTCAAACAAAAAGAAAACATCATCTCATCTGGTTCACTTCCCACGGAGGCTCACATTTTAAGCCCGCTTCAGCCAAGATGGCATCCTTCGATCCGGTCTTTTCCAAAGATGGTGGTTGCACCATCCCTGGGCAATACCGGCAACTCTTCGTATGTTCCATTCGGACAACGAGATTCAGACACTGAGCTGGTTTTAAAATTTGCTTCAAGAGGGGTCACTGCATGTCCCGTCTCTAAAAAGCAATGCACATCATAAGTGTACAGAATCGACTTTGGCCAGGTTCTCACAGATTCACGCAGCAACCCGTCAACAACAATTTGAAAACACTGCGGCCAACAAGGCCGTCAAGCACCACACACCAACCATGAGGTTGCCCCGTTCCATTGCTGCACGTGAAGCAACAACTCCCGAACAGACCATAACCTCAGTCAGGACCACGAAGCATTACTCTTCAAAAACGAAACCATTTTTTGGTGTGGCCTTAAGATGGTTTTGTTCATACATAGTCTTGGGCTGCCAGGGAAATGGTCTCAAAGGAGAGATTAACTGACCCCTGTGTTCCATGGGTTTCAGATGTTTTCAGGGTTTATCTAGCTGGGAACAAAGCTTGAACCTATCTAGAGTTAGCTGCCCTCTGGCTGTTGGACTCTTGTTGAACCGTAGACGCGAAGGGTGTCCAAATTCCTTCTTACGGTCCAAACAGCTGCTAGCCGCCACAGCCAAGCCACCAGAAAAATAAGGTAGATTGAGAGCGTCTTGAGGATGTCAACTGACCGGTGCTGAGCAGTCGCAAAGAATCGATCGGTGAGGCGTAGCAACACTTGCCACCAGGTGTAAGTCCACAACGTAGCGAAGCCAACCTTGGCAAGGCGCTGTGGCCACAAAAAAGAGAAAGGTGGACAGCCGCTGAAAAGTGCTCAAGGCTCAAGGCTAAGTGAAAAGTACTGCTACTGAAAGGGCCTAGGAAACATCAAACAACACTATTGGATAACTGTGCATGTTCAACAATTGGATTCTGATTCTATACTAGTTGCAATGTGTTATCTCTCTCCAAAGTCTTTTCTGTTATCTCTTCTTCGCAATCAAACAAAACCTATGAAGGGAGCGAAGCACGACCATCCCCAACAGTTCCCACAGAGATGTTGTCCATTGGGCTAGGTTCCTTTACAAATCAATGCCTCCCTCCATACTATCGACTATCAAGATCTATCAAGTCTAGTATTCTTGTGTGTAGGTCCTTCGAACCAACCAGTCTTGTTGAGTCGGAAGTGGTCCATTCACGAGAGTCATCTGAATCTTAGATCAGGCACCGTTGAGGCACAGAACCAGGTTAGGAGGTCTTTGATGGGATAGCCAGCCCTTGCTAGGCCTGCAGTCACATCCAAGCTCCCGGCAATTCCTGTGGCAGGCGCCAAATACACAAAGGAAGGCGGTCACAAAAGCCAACATGGAAGTAGAGGAAGTCCAGCTTCAAGTTAGTCTTTTCAATCCAAATATTGGCTCACTTGCAGGAGGGTCCCTCCAAGGGTCGTCACATAAATATGTAGTATATATAGGTTGGGCTTTGCCCCGGCACAGTAACAGTGACCACAAATCATACCACAAAAAAGAGCACAGCAGTTTAGCCATAGTTTGCATTAGGATGATTTTCATTTGCCTACAATAGTCATGTACCACAAACCCCTCAAGTGAATCGGGTGCCAATTTTCATCTGAGCACACCCACTCGCAAAATGATCGAAAGTTTCAATCCACTCAAAATGGTCTGGGAGTTCTGCCAAAACATCATATGGCAGGCCTGGCAGAAGGGGTTGGCTCTAGAGGGGGACCTGGCCCAGGGGAGGGGGGGCCTGCCTTATAAAACAAAAGAAAACTGGTGGCCCGCTCTTTTTGAAAGGAACATGAAAAGGAACACAACCACAAAAAAAAAAACACAAAACAAAGCACAAAACTGATTTGTTTTGTGCTTTTTTTGTGGTATGACTTGTGTTTGTTTTTATTTTGTCTTTTTTTGTGGTATGACTTGTTTTTTTGATATTTATTTTTGTGGTATGACTTGTGGTCGTTTTTTGTGTTTTTTTGTAGTATGACTTAAGGATTTTTTGGTGCATTTGTGGTATGACTTGTGGTTTTTGTGCTTTTTTTGTGGTAAGACTTGTGTTTTTGTTTGTGCTTTTTTTTTGTGGTATGACTTGTGGTCGTTTTTGTGTGTTTATTTGTGGTATGACTTGTGTTTTTTTGTGGTATGAGTTGTGTTTTTTGAATATAGAATCAAAGGTGAGTGGCAGGAGACAAGGCCATGTGCATTGATTTTGTGACTTTTGTGGTGGTCACGTTTGTGCTTTTTTGTGGTATGACTTGTGTTTTTTGTTTTTTTTGGTATGACTTGTGTTTTTTGTGCTTTTTTTTGTGGTATGACTTGCGTGTATTTTTTGGTATGATTTGTGGCCCAGGACGGAAGACGACCACAAATCAAACAAAAAAAAAACACACAAAAAAAAAAAAAAAAATTTGGGGGGGGGAGCCGGGAGCGACGGGGTGGGGAGCCGGGAGCGATGGGTGGGGAGCCGGGAGCCAGGGGGTGGGGAGCGGGGAGCCAGAGCCAATTTGGACTTGGCTCATCCTGCTGTGAGAGCATGAGCAAATGATTAATCTTGTGGTAAGCAGTAGGGTCAATCATTCTTTGAGTTGCCACTTGAGGTTGATCAATTTGTGAAGGGATGATGTTGGTTGTTTTTGGTTTGCAAATATGTTCAGATTTGTGTTCTTTAGAGTTAGCCAGCCCACTGAACCAATTATTTTGCATTTCCTAGACCAGAACCCGCCCACTGATCCAATCTTTTGCATTTCCTAGACCAGAAATTGCAATCCAATCTCCCTAAATGACTTTGAATATGATTGTAATTTTTTTGGGGGTATGGTTTAAGGGCCCTGACCCTTTACGACTGTTACTGTGGGGGGGGCAGGGCCCAATATATATATATATATATAGGTGGGATGAATGTAGGATGGCCCTGCAAGCTTGAAAAACGAGAGAGAGAGAGAGAGAAACAGGATGTCCTGATTCTTTGCTCCCTAGAATACATGCAAAGCGGCCATTCGGCCCCCCCTGGAGATGCACATTGTCTTGCACGCCAACCTCCAATCAAACATCGTAGTATTATCATGACTGGTGGATAAGCATAAATAATACAGAGTAAATGATACTGCCTAAGATTGTAATTAAAAGAGTCTATTATGTAAACTACCCCTTGGCCATCATGCTACCCCAACTACCCCAACTTCTCCCTCCCCCTAAGCGATCATGAATCAAGCTATCGAACACTATAGCCATCCCCCACCCCTTTTTTCGTTCCTCGCACGACTCTCCCTCTCCTTTGTGCGGACCAGTGTGCCCTCTGTGTCTCTACTACACCTGAAAACCAAGTGACCAAATACCAAACTGGCAGCATTGGGACGGAATCTAACTTGGAGCTCATTTCATTCAGTCCCCTGATCACTTTCGTATACGCATCCACGTCACTGTTCCTTCGGGTTCCACCGAACCACATGTACCGCTCGAAACCGGTTCCACAGGACCCACTAGCGCCACCACCAGGGGCCTGGAAGGCAAATCATCAGCAGTAGAGGCTTTGGCGTCGTCCAGCGGAATCTCCATCCCATCAGCTCCTGCAGAGTGACAACTGCGGCTGAGCACTCTATGTTTGTGTGATAAGTGCATGCACTTCGGATGAGGCCGTAAATTACCCTGTACCATGTGTCACACCCCAAAACTGAATATTCAAAAAGTCAACACTTTGCACTTGGAGAATGGCAAACCGGAACCGCATTTTAAAGAAAATGACCCAGGAAGCATCAGGATGACGAAATGGCTAGCGGCTAGCGGCTATTGCAGAAGAGACAATTACAAATTAAGATTCAACATGCAGTATTCACTCTCACATTGAAGAATCTGAAACTGTCTCCATCCAAGTCTAGATTCGCATTATATAAAGAAATCGTCTACCCAGGATCCCAGAAGGTCAACCTACCATTTTTGTAACTCACACCCATATCCTGCGGTGTCCGGATTTGGGATGTTTTGGTTCAACCGTTCAACATCGTTCAACCCTATTCCAGACTTGTCCGTCCCAGTCCTCACGCAGGTTGTTTTGCACGTAGGCCTGTTGGCAGTGGAACCATACGCCGTACACCCGGACCACGGCTAATTATATACGTCGAAACACCTGTTAGGTAGACTGGAACACCAGCTCAAATAAAGAACATCCCACCACTACCAAGTCTTAAGTCTTGCTTTCTGATATGATACGCAGTGCTAGTATGTGCTAGTCTTCTCGTATCACGAGTATAGGATTGACCTTGGCCAATTGCGAGTCAAGAACTGCAGGGTTTGATGTTTTAACCACTCATCGCTTCGGCCATGAGATGCCTGATGGGACAACCCTCTACCAGATGAAACATCTCCCATTACCCCGAGACCCCGACAAGTGCTTTCGATGTTTGCTTGTCTTCACTGCCAAAAACGTGGGAAGGCCACACAGGGGCTTGTCTCGGCCTCAAACTCTGTCTCACTTCCATACAGGGACTTGATCGACTGGATCACAAATTCTCGATCCGATTCCTTGCTGCACAGGCATTCGCTGAGCGTAAAGTTGGCGAGCTCTTCAACCTGAATGGCACAGAAGCAGTGGATAGCGCAAGGCACACGTAACGAATGGTGCTTGTGAATGCTGACATTGGCGGAGACTGGTGTGTCTCTTTCTCCCAGAGGTTGCAAAGGTGTGCTCAAAGCAGGATAGGGATGCCCCTTGTCCACTCACTTAGGGGGCTAAACACAACCCCTTTGGAAGTGCTGGTCAGGTTATTCCAGTGTTGTGTGAGTTTTCCCCTGTGAGCAATGGTCAAAACCTGGTACTTGCCGCTGGAGTCATTGAGAGGGTGGTATCGATTGTTCTTGAATATCCTATATATCGTTTTCCAAGGGTTTGGTGCCTTTCTACCTACCTCTTATATACTAATCAGAACCACTGCCCATCAACTGGCAGTGTTTGTCCTTAATGTCCACTTTACAACAGACTGAGTCAGGGAATAAAGATGAAAACTGTCCCAATATGGTCACCATGACACTATGGAGACCTCCTCAGGTTCGGTCTGACGACCGACCCGACCCTGGCACCCTCCGTCCTGAGGGCGCTCTGTCTGCCCTGGTATGAGGTGCATTTCACTCAGTCTTTTGCTGCTGCTGGTGTTGCTGCTGCTGCTGCTGCCACACCCGTGTTTCGCGCCCCTCCAGCCAGGCAGCTAAGTGTTGCTTCTCCGAAATGCTCTTGCGGCTCTTGTGAACAGCAACGGCCAAAGGAAGTGCACCAATGGTGATGAGTATCACCTGAAGCCCTGGGCGTGAAAGTTGGCACTGGGGATCATCCTACTGCTGGGTGAAAAAGTGGTACGCCAATGAGATGGAGTTCTTGGCAACTCCAGGGCGAGAAGGTACACATCAAAGAGGCTTGGAGCGTCCAACGTTTAACAAAATCAATACTATGATCTCCCATGTTTGTGGGTTTGTGCGGAGGGAACCTGTTGCGGACCCTCAACAAGCAGTATAATCGAGAGGTGTAAAACCACATACATCTTCTTTCACGGGATGCGGGATCACCACAAAATGTATGTGTTTGTTGCTCTTTACAGTTCGCAGCCTTTAAACACTTTCACCTGAGTATGGAAGGTTCTGAAGGGGGTTGTGCGTACAATGAGATCACACGCCAAAAGGGGTAGATGGCACCTGTCACTTGCCTCCAATATGCACTGGACTAGATGGGACCTTGATCTTGGTTCGCCAACGTCAGATGCAATGTGGCATCTCGGAACTCACCTATGTGTTGTGCCAGGCCCGCCTGGAAATTGGCACTTCAGAAATCCATCCACTTTCCAACAGTCACTTCAGGTGAAAAAAAAACAGTGCAGTTAACATCACTCCAGCGACGACGACGTACAAAAAAAAGTTCGGTCATCAGCTGCCAGGACACGAAAAGACGCGTTTGGAGAGTCCAACTTCAAGCAGGGAACGCTCATCGTGGAAATGACGGCGCAGAGCATGGTCAAAAAGCAACAGACCTGAAGATTTCGATTGCATTGCCCGGCTGTTTCCCTGCGCAATGTTCAACCTCAATTAGTTGCAAAATTATTCGCACACCCTGAACAGTTTAGTGGGTGCAGAGCAGCCGAGAGGCTGCCAACTTCACCATCACCATTGGCACCAAGGAGATCTTCCCATTAGGATTGGCCATGCGAAAGACCGCAAGCTCAAAGACACACCACAACCTGGACCTGGGCATGCGGTGTAGCTTCCCTTTGAACCAGGCGTGGTCATTTGATGGGAATCTGCAGGCTGGGGCTATCATGACACTATGATCCTCATTATGATCCTCATTCATAGAGACGAACTGACAACTGGTGCAGCGGAGAAATCTTCCTTCAGCAGTAGCATCCTGAAAAAGAACAAATCGACCCATAGAAAGGGAGTTTGCTCTACAAACCAGTGGTGCAAGTCTTCGAACCGCTCGGATTGTCGCACTCTTTGGCCACTGACTGTCACTGCTTGCCAAGTAGCAGGTATGCAGGGCTCCACAGGATTAGCAAAACCTTTGAGTGTTGCAAAAAGCCACCTGAGTGGGGAGTCCGATATGTGTGGTCTGGACCAATGGTCAAGGTCGGCCACGTAAACAAAAGGCTTTAGCTCTACAATGGGCGGCCCACCGCATGTCACCAAGTTGTCTGAGGGGTCCAACATGACAAGCCGCTTTTCTGGCTCTTGAAAAACTTAAATAAAACAAACTCTGTGGAGACCCTCAACAGAAGAGCACTAGGCTAGGTGCCAAATTTAGAAACTCCGTTGAAGGCATTTATGAAGCCCTGTCGTCAGCTATCGGCCTCTCGGGACCACTTCAGATCACGGAACATCTGCAACGAAAATTCACTCCTTGATGAGTTGTTCAGGCTGTGGTGAAGTGTCTACATGTCCTGGTGGAGAAGGAAAAAATGGACTGAAACCTAGTGCTGGTACTCTTTTGAGGGGAGACAGGTGAACCTGTAAATAAATGGAAAATGAATCCTCCTTCTTCCACCACACGAATCCTCCCTTCTCCCACCATAAACAATCCAAACAACTCCCGTGCTGCAAAGCCATGGTAGTGGGCAATTCCGGATCTCCTCAAAACCCTTCGATTCTGCAACGACTTGGAAGGGGGGAACTGACTATCATCGTTCCTCTGGTTTAGAGTTTTCTGACCAGAAGATTGCAGGAAACCCGGTTCACTAGCATAGAATCTGACCGAAGAGTGAAACAAAAGCTATTTACAGTAGGAGGCGTATTAGCATTACAGTCATTAGTACAGTACTTGGTATCAATCTTATCCCTGGTAAAGAGGCATCTTAAAAGATCCAAGATCCTGAGTTCACACCGAGCCACCAATCCCACGAATACCTTTCTGCATCAGCTCCTCATCCGCCTCGCAATCATCGGGGGTGCAGATTCTTCGGTCCAACAAGATCTCGCTGTTTTCTGGTCTGGACTGCGTCAACACGTGGCTGTTGTAGTGGTTTAAGTATTTGAGACTTCGGGCACCATGCCTTTCATAAAACTTGAAGAGTTGGAAGATTGTGATGAACACACATCTGCCATTTGTAAACTCATGCCTATGGGGGTTTGGTCGTGATTGTCCCTAGTCATCGGATCCTTGATCTCACAGTAAGTAGGGGAAAGTACTCTTTTCAGAACTCCCCTTTCCAGCCTCCAAATTGTCAAGTAGTCAATACTTGGTGCCACACTGCTGTACCCAAGGCAAAGGGTTGTACACTAAAATAGCTTGGCCCGTGTCCAACCACCCTCTGCCTGGTTGATGCTCATGAAATCGACAAAGCAAGTGCCCCACCTTGGCTGGAGAAGAACCACCCTCCAATACATGGCTCTTGAGACTGGAGTCCATTTGCAATACAGTATCCAGCAGTTTGTGCGGTGGAACCAAGATTTAAGAAAAAGGATCATCGTATATGTTTCAGCGACCGCACAGAAACTAAAAATTGTCCTAGCTGCATGACTACGTTGTGGGCCTCAGTCTTTTCCAAGGCGCCCTGCTCGACTTGGTACGTAGGGGCTCACATAGAGCCCGATGATCTGCGCCACAAGCCCAGCAGCAAGGACCCAAAAGCCAGCCGGTGCTTCTTCCAGTTGACTAACAAAGATGAATGTTCGCTGCAAGGGCATGGGGAGAAATCTCAGAATGCCTGAGGTCTGAACTGGGATCGTTTAATGGATGTGGTTGGTCAACAGAACAAAACATGGATCTTTTGAGTCTTGGTTGAGTCGAAGGGTTCCTTTTGTGGTTTGCTTGAGTAAACTTGGAAGTTTTGCAAACTGTTACTTTGGGGCAAGCCGACCGTCTTGTGATGGAAGCTTGTTGGCCCAAGAGGCCCCCCTTTTTCGCACGTGGGGGCGGTGCCATGGTGCGGTGGCGCTGGAGCCTTCTGGCTCTTGGTTGGGCCTTTGGGCCCAGCGAAGGCTGGTGGCACCCAGCTCCTGACGAGGGCGTCCACCAGGCCAACGAGACCTGCTGGTCTGACCCGCTCCAATGTCTCCAGCAGAGGATGAACGCCACGGTCTCGTCTGCCCAGCAGCAGTTCGCCTCGCTCACTACGTGGGATAGCATCGTATGGACGATCTTGGACACCGTGTTGAGCAGGGTCGGATGGCTGGTGTTCGGCCAGAACTGGATTCAGGTGCGCACTGGGTGCTCAGTGGTCCTTCGAGTGGCTACTTTGATGGCTGTATGCCTGGTGCTGCACTATTTTCTGGCCTTGGCGTGGCCTTTGTGCTCCCTCATCATTGGAGGTATCCTCACCCTGGTATGGCTCATTCGAGCATGTGTGAAGTGCTGCGGAAGGGTAGCTTTCTATACGCAGCGGCTTGTTGGTGGGGTCCCTGAGGTCACCGGGGCTACCTTCTTTGGGCCGGACACTGGTGAGGTCCCGGAGACCGCGGAGTTGAGAAAGCTCAAGAAGGGTGCCAACGAGGACAGGTGGGTGTTACTCCGACGGGATGGGCACATTGTTATCATCAAGGTCGTTGAGAACGCCGCCATCAAGTCCAGCGGGATGTACCTGACCTTCGACCCTGAGGCAACCCGGGGCGACCCGCCACTTCTCTTGGCCTTGAAGGGTTACGAAAGAGTCCATCTCTGCCGGCACGATAGCTGCCCGGAGGAGGGACAACACTTCAAGAGCTATGCCTTGGCCAGGCAACTCAACCCGGAGAAGTTCCACCTGATGTCCACCGCGGCTGGGGCCCAACGGTCAGGATCGAAGGTGATGAGTTGGTTTTGGTCCAGGGCCAATCAGACGGCGAAGAAGTTGAAGGACTATGCATCGGAGTCCGAACATGAAGAGGTGGCTCGATGTTGCGCCCATCAGGTGTGGTGGGAGAGTTCGACCGGTCGTGAAAGCCTTGGGGACCGACCATGTGAGAGGCCTGCGGTGACTCCGGTGGAGCTGTTGGAGGAGGACCTCAACCTGTTGCCGGCCGGGCATACCGTCACGATGTGTCCACACCATGCGGTGCAGTATCTCACCCGAAGGGCCTCTACCAAGTGTTCGGTGGATGGATGTCGACGGGTCTGTACCTCGACAAGGCAAGGACTGAGGATGTGCGCGACTCATGAGGAGCTTCAACCTCTAACACCGACGAGGAGGTCCTCCCGGTCACGATCGAGGGTAAGGGAACTTCCCCCGGCTGAAGATGAGGGTGACGATCGTCTGGAAGGCGAAGGTGAAGATCGGCTGCGGCGACGTGGGCGAGGACGTGAGGTGGCCTACAACACGGAGGAGGCGGAGGCTATCCTACGCGAGGTCAGAGACGACGGACCCGATGTCCAGGCTCAGGGCGTGACGAGGCGGAAGAGAGTGGCTTCCCCGGGGCACACCCCCAAGTCGTCGGTCCAGCATAGCCTGGCAAGGATGGGACTCATCAATTCACCGGATCGTCGAGGAGAACTTACCTTCCTGGAGGAGTTCATGGAACAGCTTGCAGACGGCAAGGAGTTGCAGCTCAACGAGGAGGACATCCGGAAGCAGATGGCAGCTCAGTCTGGGGTCACCCTCGGCGATTTGACTCGCCAGCTCTACGAGCAGGCAACTGAGGAACAAAGGAAAGGGACGAAAGGCCTGACCAAGTTCCTTGCCAAATGGCGCAAACAGGCGGCTGCTCAAGAAGGCTCGATGACCCCGTCAGATTGGAGTGTGGTCGAACGGGAGCGAGAGAGCGCTACACCCGCTTCTAGTGCAGCTTCGGGAGGCAGGACAGCCAAAGAAGAAGCTGGCCTTGGTTCCCCCGCCTGGCATCTATGACCCAGATCGAAAGGCTGGAACAGGGCCTGGGGAAAGGGGCGCCAGCACCGAGATGACCGACATCGCCAAAGCAATCCAGCAGCAGACAAATGAATTGGCAACTTTGGTCAAAGCTCAACAGGAGTCTGCCGCTGGCGCAGGAGGATCCCTAAAGGGCTTGGGCAAAACCTCAGAAGAACTGGTATATCTGCTCCGCGCATGCGGGCAGTATACCGTGCAAGTTGGCGATGGAGAGTACGGTGCCTCTCTAGCTCAAGCGCTCCTTGCGGCTCAGGCAGGGTCGTCCACGAAGTTGAGGACAGCTGGTTTCAGACAGAAAGTCACAACAAGGCTGGCCATCGGCCTTGCAGGCCCGTACTGGGGGACGCAGGAAAAGTACGCCCTGAGTGCTTCAGACTTCGTGCCCTGCACCGATGCCGAGTTGGACCAATTTGCCATTGAGAGCAGGACGGGAAAGCCCACAAACGACCAAAGGCCTGCAGCTCCTACGAGGTATGAGGATTGGCTCAGCCGTGCAAAACGCCAAAATGACATTTGGGCCCTTGTGTACGGGAGCGAATGGAAGGCTGTCCGGGAGCACGCCGTCAACCTGTTGAGCGAATGGCATATCGGTGCCCCTCACAAGTGGCCGCTTCAGGTGTTGCTCGACGTATGGGAAGAGCTGCACTGGAGGTTCTTGGAAGAGCTCAAAGAGGAGTTGAGGAAGATTAAGAGGCTGGCCGGAAGAGAGTCGATGACTTTGAGCGACCTCAAGTTCTATGCCCTTATGCCGGACGAGGAGGGCAGGGCTCCCCTTGAACTGCCTCAAACCTTTGACCTTCGGAGGCCGGATGGATGGTTCATGTCGGAGGTCATGCCCCGGATTGAGCGCCGCCAAGAGAGGATGCTTTGGAAGATGACCTGGGAAGGAGCTGGAAAGGCCCGAGCTCAAGGACAACCTGCAGGTGGAGATGGGGGCCATCGGGAAGAGAAGCTCACTTTGAAGGCTTTGTACGGCCCGAAGCTCACGGCAGAAGAGACGGCAAGAGCTAAGGATCGAGCACCAACCAACAAGGAGGGAAAGCTCCTATGCTGGGGGTATCTGACCCATTTGGGCTGCTCTCAGCAAGGTTGCCAAAGAGCTCATGAACCTCTCAGGGGACCGTTTGAATCCCTCGATCCGGCGGTTCAGCTTCAGATGCTGCGAAGGGGAGGGCTCAAGCGCATGAAGGCCGAGACCAAAGAAACAGCTGCAGAAAAGATCAAGGAGATCAGAGCTGGGGTGGCCAAAGATAAGGCTTCGAAGGTCCAAGATGGGAAGGATAGACGTCGAGCGGGACACGGGGACCAGCCTCAAGGTGAAGCTGAAGGGCACGAGAAGGCGGGCGGTCATCACGGAGTTCGATGGGAGGCGCCGGAAGAGATGGTGCAGGTCGACTACACCCACCAGGAGAAGGAGTTTGCCGATTTGGTGGCGGGCCCCGACCCCTCCATTTACGAGAATGTGCCCAGGGAGTCGCAACCTCATCCTGGACGTGAAGGGGAGACGGCGCCCAGAGAAGCGCAAGACCTCGTGAGGAAAGCTCAAGCCCTAGCAGACGGGCCTGTACTCAGCAAGCTGCAGGAAGCATCGGATGACCTCTATGCTTGGGCGTCTACGAGGGTGGCAAACGATCCGGAGATCCCGTTTGAGACGCTGATGGAGGAGATGGTGCAGTTTGGGTTGGGCGAATTGGCGGCCGAGGCGGCATACCTCTTGGAGACCCACGGAGGAGGGCCGAAGGCTGGGAATCAGGCTCGATGCCGGGTCGGAGATACCCGTTGGGAGGCGGACGGGCCGGGCAAAGCGCTGGTCGAGATTGATGGAGAGTCATGGGCGATGTGGGACTTTGGGGAGATGGTCTACATGACGGAGGAGCTGGCGGGCCTGTTAGGGGTGATCGAACCAGAGAAGGAGAAGAGGCAATGCGTCACCAAGGTCTTTGCCGCTGGCCTCCTCATGGCTCAGACGAAGAAGGTTCCTGGAATGGAGGAGGTCGAGAAGTTGACCCAGGAGTTTCGTTTGGAGCAGGCACGTTTGGCGGTTGAGGCGGAAGGTGTCATGAGTCACCCCGAGGCGAAGGTGGCCCCGGTGGAGCATGAACTGCGCATGTACGCCCACGACATCCTAAAGCCCCACCACGACAAGGACTACCGAGCGTTGGCAGTCTTCCCGCTGGCAGCTTTGGAGGAGATCAGGATCATTGTGGTCCGAGTTGACTACAAGGGCGATATCCTCCTGGAAACAGTTGTGGGGAGTCAGTGGACCCAGCAGGACGTATGGGTCATGATCTCCAAAGGGCACATGACTTTGCTACAACCACCCTCCAGCGCGGCTGAGGAAAACTTGTTGCGCAAAGAGGAGGTGTATCACACCCCATGCCTTGGGTTCAGATACTTCTGGCATCAACGCCATGACCAGGCCAAGACCGCCCCGGGCATCATCGCGTGCAGGCATTGCAAGACAAGAAAGGGAGGCGGCGGAAATGAGCCCGATGCTTATGGATGCCTCCGAAAGACGACATGTCTCCCAGCTCTGTCGCAAGTCATGGCAGGAGGTGGCCACACGATGAAGACAGTCCATGGAGCACGAGGACATGCAGGCTTGGTGCTGAGGGAGTACTTTGCGGGGCATGGGGTCATCACGAAGGGGTGGACGGATGCCGGGATGGTCGCTCTTGAACCCATCGAGCTTTACGACCAGCCACATCAGCAACTCGGCCTACGGCCAGATCATGACTTAGCCCAAGCGGACCGCCAGAAGTTCTACCTGGACAAGCTAAAGGAACAGGAGTCCAACGTGCAGTGGATTGCAAGCCCGTGCACCACCTTCTGTGATTGGTGCCTCCAGAATGGAGGAACAAGGA